GGGGGGGTAGTGTTGGTGATGTAGTCATGGACAAAATACCACACTGACTGCAGAATGCTGCATGTGGAGAGATGGGAATATTGAATACCCGGCCACCAGAACCATCCCAATTCAATATTGCAGGAAAAAAACACATTCCTATTCCAGAAATCTTGGCTGTAAAATACCACCAAGAAAATCGCCATTCAAATGAGATGCGTTTATTTCTGCATGGCCTTTGAAGAGAAGAGAGGGGTCGTGTCACTCAAACGAAGGAAAGGGCCACTGCGTTATAACCACCCCGCCACCCCCTCTTCTTCTTTTCCTTTTTTTTTTTAACTCTCCTCTCGCTCAGACCGACCCCCACTTGTCCCCACACATGCGCGCGCACAGACACACACACGTTCACATAGCAAGCTGGCTTTGGGGGCGACATAGAGGCTAGATTAGAGCTTTACTTCTTTAACAAGGGAGAGGGGGCACTTCTATAATCACAGCGGCGGTATGTGGGGCCACAAAGAGTTTGCAACCACAGGGCGACTGGTCTTCTGTAGAGTGGTCCAAGCCGTGGGCAAGCCAGGAAAAAAACGCTCTATCCAGCGTATTACTAGGATCAAAACGCAGTGGTTATAGTGCGTGAAGAGGTTATTAACCCTCAGAGCACAGCAGAAGACCACTTCTAAATCTCCAAAACAGCATAACCCTTGCATAACCTGATTTAAGACAATTCACCACGTTAACATGACCAGAACGAAGTGCGAAGTAATTATTTAGTTTGTGTAGAGACAGAAATGCATCCCTTGTTGACGATTTGGAGTGTGTTTCTGCACGCCTGCTGGCATCCTCGCTCTCCCCTAAGCACAGCAGTGTAACGTGGACATACAAATTTGATGGATGGTGCTGAGTAAGATGGAAAAAAAGGCATGTATTTATCAACAAGCCTCTGAGGTGGCCGGGAGAGAGAGAGAGAAAGAGATCCAACCATAGAGACTTAAGGAAGTCAATGGGAAACCTTACCACTGTCAGGAGCGGTTCCCAGTGGCATACATGAAAAATACCCTTCAATGCTTCGTTTCAGTTAATCATAATAGACCTACAGCAGCCTCTCTGAGCAATCCAGGTGAACAACGACAGCAACAATATGAGCTGGTGCAGGTTTGACAGTATAACAGTCTATAACGGATAGATAGATAGATAGATAGATAGATAGATAGATAGATAGATAGATAGATAGATAGATAGATAGATAGATAGATAGATAGATAGATAGATAGATA